CTTGAGTGGCATTTGGATGCTGGTTAGGCATTAGGATATTGTTTTCCTGGGTTCAACATAGGCAACCCATCCCGAAAATAGGTTAGTATAGGTCTTGTTTTTTTTTTGAGTTTTAGTTTTTCTTCTTTTCAGTAAACTTATCTAGGGTGTGTTTTGCTCATTGGTCTCTTTTATTTCTGTCCCCATTTTTTCTTCCTTTAGTTTAACTCCCCATCCCCTCCCTCGATTAGGTGGTGAGTGATGTCAGTTCTCTGGTAGATGCGGGGCGTCTTTCGTTTCGTGTGTGTGTTTTCGTATTTGTTGTTGTGTATGAATGAGTGTGTGCCTGTGTGAATGCTTGGGATGATTGAGTGTGTCCTTTATTTTCATAAGTCCCGCATCGTTTTCGTCCGATTAACTGATATTTCTGCCACATTTAAAATTTGTGGAAGGTTTTTAATACTAACACTAATTTTGTTTAGTTTCTTGTAAATAGATTTGTCATATTGTATATACTCATTGGGGATCTTTTTTAAAAAAATTGTTGTTTTTATGCCCCCCCCCCAGACAATACTTGTACATAAGGGGAGTATTTAGGTTCTTCATTGAGTCAAAGAGGCATTTTGGTGAATGTAGTAAGAAAGGTATGGATAATTGTGTTGTTTTGGTGAAAGGAATATTGTTCTGTATGATAGAGTCAGTGGTTATGGCTAGCTAAGTTTTATACTAAGACAAGTGATGACCATCCTTTACCCCATCCCCCTTTTTGGCCTTGTGCCACATTTGTTGTATTATCACAACAATAAATATTGTCGGAGAAGTTCTTGGCTGAGCTAGTTATAGACTACTCAGGCGATTTCTGTACCTACTTACCAACCGAATAAACCCCTTTTTATTGTTACGTGTTATTTGGCATTTGTCTTTACTAACCCCAAATCAACATCATAACACATATATATATATATATAATAAAAATGTTAATAATCAGAGTTGAATTAGACAAGGAAACAGTAGTATTAAAAGTGCTCAATACATATAAAAAAAATACAAATTTAACATATGGTGCTTTTAGATATAAAAATTAGGAGATCAGCTGATGTAGCAGAATTAGCTGATCTTCTAATATATATATATTCTTTAACCATTGCAATATTGAGAAATCATTCCCAAGTCTGTGGAAGGTGTTGTGTGTATACCTGGTTTTCAAAAATATGGGTGAGTGCTCATCTCTGTTTCAGTATAGACCCATCAGTCTCCTCAGTTTCATTAGCAAAGTTTTAAGCTATAATCAACAAGAAGGTTGTTGATCACCTAAATAGGAACAATCACTTGAGCAAGAAATAGTACAGGTTTTGATTACCTCAATCCACTGCTGATCCACCTAGACCTCAAGTGAAACACAAGATCCATCACTAAAGAAAATGGTTGGTTCTCTGTACCACACTAGTAAGTAATGGACTCCTCCTGGTATCCTCTACCTTGACAAGGGCCAGATCAGGCCAGAAATGGAGTACTGTTGCAATGTATTGGGAGGAGGAGCTACCCTGTCTTCATTTTCCAGTTTCTGTGTCCTTGTGGCTGACAAATTATTTTCCACCCTACAACACCTTTCTCACTGTTCTATTGCTATTTCCATGGAAAGTGTTCAGACAAACTACATTTCTTAATTCCACCAGTTCTAACCTTCATGGCTAAGATCTAAGCAAACCACTTTCATTCCCTTCATATTCCATTGGTGAGATGTAAGTTCCACTTGAGTAGCTTCTTCCTATGAACTGCTGCTTTGTGGAACCAACTCCCAAGAGGATGCTTCCCCAATTACTACAATCTTAACCTGTTCAACTCCAAGGTTAACCATTATCTTCCCACATATCCCCCATAAACTGTGCCTCTTTTGTCCTCTGTAATTTTTTGCCTCTAGTGGCTACCAGGCCTGTACAGAGTGAACATCACTGCAGGCCATCATAAGATGTTAATCTTGTCTTGAAGTCAATTGAATTGTAAATTAATGAAAACCTTTTTGCTAATCTACTACTATGTTTATATTCTTGAAGTCTAGGTATGAGCTCTTCCTAGAGCTCATCTGAACAATTACCCGCAGCAGGAATAATAACTTAACTGGTTTAGCAGAAGAAGAGAGACCAGTTATGTCTTGCCTGCCTGGATCAAATTTGCATCATTCAGAATGCAGAAAACACAGTTTAAGCGTGATGTGGGACACGTGGTTTGATTCATGTGCCTGGATGTACAAAGAACTGTGTGGGTTCTGAGGTAGATAAACAGACAAACCAATAGACAGTCAGGAGGAAGGTGTCTAGCATGGCAGATTGCAGTGTTGGAATTCATGAGTCACAGATTTGAAATAGATTCCATGCATCAATCCTCACCAGAGAGAAGGTACCGGTGTTATTGTTACCAACCAGTTTATATGACCATGACAGTATTTATCGAAAAGGCACAGAGAAGTAACTTTACAGCAGCGAAAAAGTGACTGCAGCCAAGGAGCCAGGTCAGAACTAATAATGTTGCTGATTCTTTTTGGGATTTTATCAAGAATCTCTAAATATATAGCGGAAGCCCCATGCTATATGGCAGCAATATTCAAAGCATGAATGAATGTTATAGATATGTAAGATAGATTCCGGAGGGGAAAATTTTCTCTCATAACACTGTGAACCAATTTTTTTAGCAGCAGACCTAGAAATGGATTCAATATACTTTTTCATCTCATGCCAATCTAGCCACTCTCCTGGACAATAACATCAGCCATGCTGATGGAAGGCAGAAAGTGTTCTCTCAGAGGTTTCATGGAGAACAGTTTTGTTTTGAAGCTATTAAAATTCTTTGCCTCAGTTAATAACAGGCAGTAGGTCATTTTAGTAGTGAAGCATAGATATGAGGTTAGTAGCAGTCACAGAAGAATGACAAATGAAAAGGAGTGAAGAAAATATGTATATATGGAAACAAAAACAAATCTGATAGAGAAAATAAAATAATAATTCAGTGAATGATTTATAAGTCTAACTTGCAACGTGAACATTGCAACTCTGATGGGCTGTTTCTGTTATTTGTTGTTACAGTGCTCTGTTGCTCAACCAAACCTTTTAGTGTCTGTTCATCTAGGTGTGCTAGTGCTGGTTCAAGCAATTCTTAATGGTTTTGATTTTCATCAATGTCGTCCATGTCTGTTAGTGGTGAAAATATAGGAATTAAATCTTATATATATTTTTTCAACCAATACAATCCCATTAGAAGATTTGATTGATAAACAATCATTACTAAGGCAAATACCACCAAAATACTTGGTGGATATAATTGTAGACTGACCATATCTTGTTGAGTTATCTTCAAAATCACAACCTTCATCTTTGAACAGAAATTTTAGGCAAAATTCTCATGTAAAACAGTAAGTAAATGTTCAATAACAATGACTTGCCTAGGCACCTCACTAATTTGGAACAATTCCTGCTTAGAAATTTGCATATTATCATGACTTTCTCATCTCAGTTCTTTCATTGACTTTTTTTAATTTCAAGCTGCTTAAAATAGTGCATCTTCTGTTTCATAGCATGCAACAACTTATTTTCCAATCCTCAAGATCCACAGACAATACTGAGAAATGCATTCTGCTAAGCAATCTTAATTTCTTAATAATATAAAGGTATATAATGATTTTATGTTGTTAACCCAAAATGCTTCCACACCAGTGTATATGTACAATGTAAATGTATTGCTAATGATTTTACTATAGAAATGCATTGGAAATCAGGAAGGAAGGATTGTCATTGTTTACCCTATTTATACCAAGACTATTGACCTTATCTTTGTTGTTGTTATCACAATTTTTCAGCCCTTGTGCCATCTGGCCTTCCTCAGGTGTATACTGTTTAGAGTAACCAACAGTGAATTCTGAACTGAACCCTTTATTTAATCTATAGGGGTAGACAGTTTTAGTTCCCCTGCCCATGTCTAGAGATATCATCTAGTTTTTTATTTATAGTACTTATAGTTTTTATTTATAGTATTTTATTATTATAGTACTGCTCAGCTGTTTCCACTGAGTGCATGTGCACACTGCTGAACCCAGAGATTGAACTCACAAATACTATGTCACCAAATTCATGAACCAATGCATTAATCTATTGTCTGATAGGATTGTCATGATTTTACTGGTCATTGTCCATAAATGGATTAAGTGGTATTAATGCAAGTAATAGAATAGGGCTATTATATGTATAATGTAAATGTATTGCTAATGATTTTACTATAGGAATGCAAGGAATGCATCAAAAATTTGGAAGAAAGGGATTATCAGTGACCAAGAATGAATGCAAACATTAATGATAAAATTTAACTATTATGTGAATTCATTTGTAATGATTTTACTGTGGGGATTGCCTAACAGGAAGAAAGAAATTATCAAGTCAGGAATGAAGACAACTATTAATGAAAAAATAGAGTATGTTTTATATAGGAATAAAGTGTCACTGCTGACACTTGTGTTTGAACATAGATCGCCAGCGAACAAACACAGGCAGTCTCATTACTGAATTATTAAGTAGATCACATGACCATAGAGGAAATGCATATATAGAAGTCACATGACATCTGATGTGTTTGCTATCCCTAGTCTATCCTCTATTACTATATGGATCTCCATTGCTTCTCTATTACTATTCGGACTGCTATTCTCTACTCTATTCACTATATGAAGTAATATTCGAAGACGTCTGACACCAGTATTGTTCAACAACTTACGATAGTTGTCTCTGCGATTACAAAGTCTCTACTACAAAGAGCATTACAAGTGTGACAATGAGTACTTGTTGGCATCACAAAAGTGGCAAGCATTGTTTGTTTGAGATTATAAAAGTATGATATACATAAAATAAATGTATTGCTTATAGTTTTACTACATGAATGCATTAACAATCAAGAAGAAAGAGGTTGTCAGTGGTCAGGAATGAATCCAAGCATTAATGACAATATATATATTTGAATAATTCTTTCTTTTCTTATAGGAGCTGTTTATGGACAAGGTTGCTATTTTGCTGTACATGCAAGTTATTCTGATAATTTTGCAGCTCGATACTTTGGTAAGGAAAGGTGTATGTTTCTTGCTTCTGTTGTTGCTGGCAAAGCTTGTTTTGGAAAGTCTAGCATTACTGAGTATAATATACCCAATAACATTCAATCAACTACAGACAATGTGAATTCACCCACCATATTTGTTACATATGATGATGACCAAATATATCCAGCTTTTCTTGTTGTATACGAACCTGGATCAAGTTGCAACATAATGTAATCTACTTTTAGTAAACATGGACTTCTGTGCCTGCAATAAGGTTGATTGTCAAAAGGACATTTTTTCCCATGGCACCTCTTTTTTAATTACCTTTACTCTTTGTTTCTTGTTTTAAAAAGTGAGAGTCAGAACTATAATAAAGCCTAAACATATGAAAGCAAATTTATACATTTTCTTTTTTCTTGAGAATTGGCAACAAAAATAATAAACATTAATTATTAGATTGTTTATTTACACTATTGATTATTTATAGGAATGGTAGGCAAATAAAATAGTAAATAATAAGGGTTTCCTTATAGTTGGTACACAAATTTTAATAACTTAGTAAATGTTTATAAATTTATGAATAAAAAATTGTTTTCATATTTATTTCTTTATAAATTGGTAGATGCTAAATATTCTATTGCATTAGTCTTAATACAACTGTATTATTTTTTTAGAATGTTGCAAGTATAAAATTATTCTCAGAATTACTTATGAGAAAATTTGCAAATATAATATTACAACTGAGACACAAAAAAATTAATAAATTGATCAGAAAGTTAGTTGCCAATGAAGAGAAATCATGGATAAGATTGAGAGAATATCATCCAATCATACCCAAGATTTACAACCTACCCAAGGCATGCAAACTAGGCACCCCAATATGCCATATAGTACCAGGAATAACAGTGCATCCTACAAATTAGCAAAGGCCAGAGCAAAAATCTTAACCTCCCATGGAACAATCAGTTCAGCAGACATCAAAAATTCAAACAATCTTATCAATAGACATGACGAATAAAAAACATGGCCAGCTTAGATATCAAATCCCTAACAAACATAAACATACCTCGCACCAAATGCCTAACATTCTTACAAAGGTATTTAAAAAGTCAAAAATCAACCTCCCAATATCAACAGACAAAATTATAGCAATTTGTCATCTTCAGTATAAACCAATGCTATTTCTTTTTCAACAGGAATTTTTATAGACAGAAAGTGCCTCTTCCTAGAATTTTTACAGTTTGCCCACCCCTTTTAACATACTCTCCCTAAAAACACAACATACTTCAGATATATTGACAATGCCCTACTAATACACTAACATGACACACCACTTATCAGAACTGATTGATAGACAAAACAAGATCAATTTTATCAACCAAACAGAACAAAACTATACCTTACTATATCTTGACATTATGCTAATATGCACACACAAGGACATTTTCCTAAAAGTTTATCAAAAATCAACAAATAATAATAACCTTATACATTTGACCCAGTTTTGATTTAAAAAATGCCAGTCTGATCTGGAGAGAACAAAATTCACTGAGAAGAAAATGCATTGAGAGTGCACTAATCTTGCAGTTCTGAACAGTGAATCTAAGACAAGGGCCATATGTTATTTTGCCAATCATTGCAAAAACAATAATAGCACATTATGGAATACAAGTTGGTGAGAAAAGGACAGAGACCTACTTGGAGTCAGGTGATTTAAAATCTACAGGACCCAACGGCCTCAAATATGTATGCATATGTATATGTGTGTGTATCATATGTGCATATGTATATGTGTGTGTATCATATGTGCATATGTATATGTGTGTGTATCATATGTGCATATGTATATGTGTGTGTATCATATGTGCATATGTATATGTGTGTGTATCATATGTGCATATGTATATGTGTGTGTATCATGTGCATATATATATTTATATATGTGTATCTGTGTGTATTTTATATGTGCAATGTTCTCAAAAAAACAAAAAAACTAGGCATGCCAACAGAAAACCAACACACCCCACAAACTATATATAAAAAATATATCTATATATATATATATATATATATATATAATTTTCAGCATCCCAACTTCAGAGTTTCGTAGGTGGACCTGTCTGTCCACTCTTCAGAGGATATATATATATATATATATATATATATATATATATATATATATATATTATATTTTTTATGAAAAAAACTAGGTAATCCATATGGGTAGACCCAAGGAGGATAAAATCCAGAGAGCTCAATGTAAATCCAGAGCAAATAATTTAAATAAAACCTTTGGAAGTAAAGTCTGATGATCTGCAGTCCTTTAAAAGGGCTGTGGTGAAATAATTTATTACATGGAACCTTAGAGTGGTCTGTTTTTATTTAATATATATATATATATATATATATATATATATATGTGTGTGTGTGTGTGGGTATGTGCATGCACAAATGTAGATGAGGGTGCACTTATAAATATATGAGTGTATACAAGTAAATGGTTGTATGTATGAGCTTTTGCATACAGGTATACACATATATATTAAAAAAAGCCTCTATGATATGTATATATATCACGTATGCACAGGTATGTATCAATGAACATATGTGTGTGTGTGTGTGTGTGTGTGTGTGTGTGTACGTATATGTATATATATGTGAAAGATAAAAATTGGGTCCAACATATATAAATACCTGGGTGGATGTATATGTGGGCACATGTACATATGTGTGTGCATGTAGGTATATATGTGTATACAAACAGATATGTAGATAAAACAAACACACACACAGTCATGCAGACTCTCTTCAAATGAAAGCCAGAAAAATGCACATGATAGGCCAGAGTAATTAATAATTAATGGGATTTATGATAATCAACTTATCCTCAAATTTCCAAAACACTTTCCTAACACATAGTTTTGTCTTTCTTCTTTTTCCATAAATTGCTACAAAACTAAAACATTAACCTGAGAATTTGTCATGTTCTAAAATAGCCTTCTCAGATCAAGACTTTTATATAGATGCTACACATGGCAGCAGATGGCATCTTTGACAGAACTAGTTTCACCCAACACCACAAAACTTTAAACAGAAAACTTGAGCCATGTTTTTAAATAGCCTTGTCAGATAAAGACTCTCATTTGGATTTTATGCATGGCACCAAACCCATTCAAAAATATATAAACTGTCAGCTGTATACAACTGCTTTCTCAGATCAATGATTAAAAATGGCTTTGGGTGAGTGAAGTTGAGGGTTTTAGCAAAGATCATCCTTCTTTGAACATTATTGACTGGCACTACAGAATCACAAACAAAGAACTGTATCAACTAAAAAAGTACATCATTACCAACAATAACAATGCCTAAAATGGACAGCACATGTAACTCAAAGTAAAAATAATGGCATAGTCAAAGAGTTGATATTCCATATTACTTCAAATAAAAGGTTAGGAAGGAAACCCCCACCAATATTGAAAAGAATGATAACAACTGAATTTGAAAAAGCTATTTTGCTACAAAATTGTTTTAGGAGGAATGTTTTATAAATTTCAAGCATGATCGATCATCTATCTATCTATCTATCTATCTATCTATCTATCTATCTATCTATCTATCTATCTATCTCAATCTATCTATCTATCTATCTATCTATCTATCTATCTATCTATCTATCTATCTATCTCAATCTATCTATCTATCTATCTATCTATCTATCTATCTATCTATCTATCTATCTATCTATCTATCTATCTATCTATCTATCTATCTGTCTATCTATCTCAATAAACTCATATCTATCTATCTATCTATCTATCTATCTGTCTATCTATCTCAATAAACTCATATCTATCTATCTATCTATCTATCTATCTATCTATCTATCTCAATCTATCTATATCTCAATCTATCTATCTATCTATCTATCTATCTATCTATCTATCTATCTATCTATCTATCTATCTATCTATCTATCTATCTATCTATCTCATCATATCTATCTATCTATATATCTATCTATCTATCAAATCTATCTATCTATCTATCTATCTATCTATCTATCTATCTATCTATCTATCTATCTATCAATCTAGATATCTATCTATCTATCAATCTATCTATCTATCTATCTATCTAATCTATCTATCTATCTATCTATCTCTATCTATCTATCTATCTATCTATCTATCTCTCTCTAAACTATCTATCTATCTATCTATCTATCTATCTATCTATCTATCTATCAATAAACTATCATATCTATCTATCTATCTATCTATCTATCTATCTATCTATCTCAATAAATCTATCTATCTATATCTATCTATCTATCTATCTATCTATCTATCTATCTATCTATCTCTATCTATCTATCTATCTATCTATCTATCTCTATCTATCTATCTAATCTAAATCTATCTATCTATCTATCTATCTATCTATCTATCTATCTATCTAATCTCAATCTTCATATCTATCTATCTATCTATCTATCTATCTATCTATCTAATATCTAACTCATATCTATCTATCTCTATCTATCTATCTATCTATCTATCTATCTATCTATCTATCTATCTATCTATCTATCTATCTATCTCAATAAACTCATATCTATCTATCTATCTATCTATCTATCTCAATAAACTCATATCTATCTATCTATCTATCTATCTATCTATCTCAATAAACTCATATCTATCTATCTATCTATCTCAATAAACTCATATCTATCTATCTATCTATCTATCTATCTCAATAAACTCATATCTATCTATCTATCTATCTATCTATCTCTATCTATCTATCTCATCTATCTATCTATCTATCTATCTATCTATCTATCTCAATCTTCACTATCTATCTATCTATCTATCTATCTATCTATCTATCTATCTCAATCTAAATCTATCTATCTATCTATCTATCTATCTATCTATCTATCTATCTAAACTCATCTATCTATCTATCTATATCTAAACTCTATCTATCTATCTATCTATCTATCTATATCTATCTATCTATCTCTCTTATCTATCTCAATCTATCTAATCTATCTATCTATCTATCTCAATAAACTCATATCTATCTATCTATCTATCTATCTATCTCAGTAGACTCATATCTATCTATATATCTATCTCAATAGACTTCTATCTGTTTATCTATCTTAATGGAGTCCTATCTATCTATGTATGAGACTAGACACATATATATCTATCTACCTATCTCAATAGACGTATCTATCTATCAGTCTATCACAATAGACATATCTACCTCAATAAACATATCTATCTCAATAAACTTATCTATCTCAATAAACATATAAATGTATCTGTGTATCTCAAGAAACAGATCTATCGCAATAGACTTCTATCTATTTCTTTGTATCAATAAACATATCAATCTCAGTAGGCTCCTATCAATCTATGTCAATAGACATATATATCTATCTATTTCAATGAACGTATCTATCTACTTTTCTATCTCAATAAACTTATCTGTCTCACTAGACTCATATCTATCTCAATAGTCTTATATCAATAGACTTCTCTCTATCTAGCTATCTCAATAGACATATCCATCTACTTACCTATCTTAACAGACTTATCTAAATATCTCTGTTGTGGTGTCCTCCCTCTAAAGAGTCCATGTTGGACTCTTCCACTTACTATAAGATTAGTAGGAGAGAAGGCCTTGAGGGAACAGTCGAATAGTTTGTTCTACCAGGCTGTGACTGTTTGCAGCTGCTGTTGAACTCTCTGCCTTTGGGCAGAGAGGAACCCTGACAAGGCTTTGCTGAAGGGCAGAGTTTTGTCCAGGGCGGTAGACAGGCCCGGAGCCGTTTATGCAGGTTCTATGGGAATATTTTTGGCTGAGCCTATGGGCTCGGAGAACCCACAGTAAACTCGACATTGTGCCACATACATCCCTCGTTTGTTAAATATTAACAGCTGAATAGATTGAACACTGGTCAACCAACACATACTCACTAGTCGTGTAATACTTTTCTGCTGTATTTACTGTTTAATATATGATATATATGCAACACTTGTTTTGTTATTTCTTTAACCATTTACTTGGTCACAACAATCTCAATAGACTCCTATCTATCTAGCTAGCTATCTATCTATATCTCAATAGACGCCTAGCTATCTATCTCTCACTAGACTCGTAAATATATATATATATATATATATATATATATATATATATAATATATAACAGGCTCAAACACTAATATTCCATGGTTATAATTTATTACATTGGAATCAGAATCATATATATATATATATATTTATTGGCTACTAATATTATCAATCTATATATATATATAAATATCTATATATATTTATCCCAGTAGAATCGTATCTATCTCAATGTATTGTTCCTATATTTATATATATATATATATATATATATATATATTATATATATATATCAATAGATTCATATCTAGCTATATATCTATCTCCATTTAGTCTTATATCTATATATATATCTCTAATAAATATCATCTCAATATCTATCCTCTATCTATCTATCTCATATCTATCTATCTCAGTATATTCATATATCTGTCTATCTAAATGGATTTACCTCTTTATTTCAATAGACTTATCTATTTATCTATGTCAATAGACATATCTATTTATCTATACATGTATCTATTTCAATATACTTATCTCAGTAGACTCATAACATCTATCTCAATAGACTTATCTCACTCAATAGACAGCTATCTATCTAATAGACATATTTCTTCTCTCTCTCTCTATATATATATATATATATATATATATATATATATATATATATATATATATATATATATATATATATATATATATATATGTATATATCAGTACAATCATGTCTATCAAACTATCTCAGTCTATCTATCTATCTCAACAAACTATCTCAGTCGACACATATCTATCTCAAACAAACCTATCTACCTATATATATATATATATCTATATATATATATATATCTATTACCTATATATATATATATATATATATATATATATATATATATATATATATATATATATATATATATATATATATATATATATATATATATATATATATATTTATATATATATATATATATATATATATATATATATATATATATATACCTATCTATTATCTACCTATATATATATAAGTACAATCATGTCTATCAAACTATCTCAGTCGACACATATCTATCTCAACAAACTATCTCAGTCAACACATATCTATCTCAACAAACCTATCTACCTATGTATCTATTTCAATAGACTTATCTATATCAATAGACTCCTATCTATCTATTTATCTATCATTTTAGCTCAATATCTCTGAATATATCTATCTCAATAGATTTCTGTCTCTGTCTGAATAGACTCCTATCTATCTGTCGATCTATCTATCTCAATAGATTTCTGTCTCTCCGTCTGAATAGACTCGTATCTGTCGATCTATCGATCTCAATAGATTTCTGTCTCTCTGTCTGAATAGACTCCTATCTATCTGTCAATCTATCTATCTCAATAAACTCCTATCACTCTAAATGAACACATATCTATCTATGTATATCAATACTCCTATCAATGTATCTATCCCAATAGACTCCTATTTCAATAGGCTTATATATATATATATATATATATATATATATATATATAAATCAATAGACTCCTCTCTATCTATATATCTATCTCAATAGACTTCTATCTATCGATCTAGACTAATATCTATGTATCTATGAAACTGAGAAATACCTATATTTATCAATAGACAGCTATATCTCAATAGTCTCATATAAGTACCTCCACTATTTCGGCATAAATTTTCGATACCTAAGTTTAAAATGAATTTTTTATAATGAAAAAACATTCTTGAAGATTTCATTTTAATTGAAAGTTTAATAACTAAATTTACGATTTCTATTAATTAAACAATTCTGGTGTATTTCAGATAGAAACTATATACATTTGATTGTCAAATTTAATTTCAAATTTTAAATTTTCTTAAAACGGCCATTTTCTTAATTTTAAGAAATTTGTAAACAAACACAAATTTATCGATTTTTAAAATATTTTAAAAAAAATCTGACACGTTATTTTAGTAAAATTAAAAAATTTAAAAACAGTTAAAGTAATCTGATTTCAAAGAAATCTTTGTTACTTATAGCATAAAAAATATAATATACAACCAATTATTAACGAGCGGTCCCGTTCATCTGTTCGATCTCATTGATAATGGTTGATTGACGAGCCGATGACAGCTACTACTGATGACCATAAATGACATAATTTTTAAGTCTGAGTTTTTAAAAAAATTATTATATTTGAGTATGACACAAATACAATACATAAAATAAAAATTATTTAGTGAAATAGTAAATGAAAAAAAGAAAAAATAATTTAAAATTTAAAGTTTAAACTTTTTGAACGGAAAATACAACTTGTAGTAACAAACGAAATGTTTTGAAAAGGCCACGTAAAGGGACAAAACCCTTAGATCACATGACCTTGTTATAATAATGGCAATTTCTGTATATCATACATGGAAATAAAGGAATTATATTAAGTAAAAAAATACAACATAAAAAATTATATTTTTAAAAAAATAAATATAACTAAATTTATTAAACTTAGCAATTTTGGATTCGTAAATTTTTTTCTACTTAATTACTACATAATATCGAGGAACCCTCCTAATACAGAGCTTTACACGATTTAAAACTATTATAAATTATTATAATTAAAATTTCTTAAAAAAACGAAAAAATTCTTGTAATAAATAAAAATTAATTATTCATCAGAAAAAAATTATTTCTTCAGACAATAATGTCCTTATTATTACTTATTTACAAAAAAGCAATTAAAAGCTTTTCTAATTAGGTAATATCATAGTTTTATTGATTCATTATTTTTCAATTCAGAGCAGATTTTCAGCTAAGTAGCTCAAATTTGTGAAAAAAAATTAGGTTATTTACCATCTTCGAAGACTCCTACTTTTAACAAAAAAAAAATTCAGGAACCAAAAAGGTTTTGGGCGAAATTTCATTAAATTAAGTAAATGGGGGAATATATTTTAAAAAATATAATTTTTTCCAAAATTTTCTAAAAAAAAATATTTCAAAAAATAATTTCATTGATTTGTGAATAAGTCCTGAAAATTTCATTAAGATTGGACAATTATTTTATTTTTACAAGAATTTCCAAATCAATATGTTTTTAACAGTAAAAAAACGCAAAAAAAAACTATGTTATTTTAAACGTCGCCGCGATGACGTAAACAAAGACGACTTTAACCAAAATTTCGAACGTGTTAGAAAATATTAAAAAATTTCAAAAAATAATTAAAAAATACTTTCTTTTCTCTAAATAATAACATAAGTATTTTGACGATAA